CTTATTGGCTAGTAAAGGAAAATGCTGAAAATGAGGTTTTAAGAAATAAGAAAATCAAGGTCTAGTTTTCTGTGAGTAATTCCCAACCAGTTGGGTCATGTTTGGCTTAGATCCACTAGACAGACGTTTTTAGAAACGTACTCTGTGCCTATGAGGTTTATGGCACGTCCTTAAGGTATAGAATGTGTTCCATATTACTTATGATTATAGTGTGCCAAACTAATGAATTAAAAATGGTTAATGTGGGAATTCAAAAAAGAAGAAACAGGTCTTTGCCAAGTTGGAAGAAATGTACTCAGACATGCCTCATCAGTATGGAGCAGAGTCCTTCATGTGTTCTGTCACTGTGGGTGCAGTATTATTATAGTGTGGACACAGATAATCTACAACAGATGTTAATACAAAATTGCATTTTCATATTCACCCAAATCTCACATTTAAAACAGATAACATTTTGCTGGTTTTATCGCGGTAATGATTTCAGTGTATTTTCTGCTGTCTTACTGTAAAGTAGATTCAGGCATGAATAAAAGAAATTATAATAAATTAGACTTAAATGTCACAGAAGTCCAGATATGTATCTGGAAAGCCATGGCCCAGAAAGATCCCACTAAGAAGGCCCTCTTCTTCTACTTTCCAGGGGCCAGAGGATTGTTCTGTTCAATGCCAGACAGGAAAATATAGTCTGCATTTATACTTCTTTATTATAAGCTAGATTTCCTTTGCCTCCTAGGGTGCTGGGATTAAAAGCATGCACCACCATGCCCAGTTTAAATGAATTTTCTTGCATGGAAAAAAAACATAATTTAGAACAATGAAACTTCAGAAATATATAACAGATAAAAGTAAAACTAAAAATTGCAATGTTAGAGATAATGAACAGAATCTAAATATTGAATTTGAATTCCAGCAGATACAAAGCCAGAAATACACTATTCAACAAGATTTTCCTAATTAGCCATATGCAAAAAAAATACCAAGTGCACAGTTCCTTTTTTTAATTTAATTTAATTTTATTAATTACACTTTATTCATTTTGTATCCCCCTATAAGCCCCTCCCTCCTACCTTTTCAGTCCCACCCTCCTTCCCCTTTCTTCATGCATGCCTCTCCCCAAGTCCACTGATAAAGAAGGTCCTCCTCTCCTTCCTTCTGATCTTAGTCTATCAGATCACATCAGGAGTGGCTGCATTGTCATCTTCTGTGGCCTGGTAAGGCTGCTCCCCGCTCAGGGGGAAGTGATCAAAGACCAGACCAATCAGATTATGTCAGAGACAGTCCCTCTTCCCATTACTATGTAACCCACTTGGACACTGAACTGCCATGGGCTACATCTGTGCAGTGGTTCTAGGTTATTTTCATGCTTGGTACTTGGTTGGAGTTTGAGTCTCTGGAAAGACCCCTGTGTTCAAATTTTCTGGTTCTGTTGCTCTCCTTGTGGAGTTCCTGTCCTCTCCAGATCTTACTACTTTCCACTTCTTACATAAGATTCCATGCACTCTGCCCAACAGTTGGCCATAAGTCTCAGCGTCTGCTTTGATAGTCTGCAGGGCAGAGCCTTTCAAAGGCCCTCTGTGGCAGGTTTCTAGGTTGTTTCAAAACAACCCTGAGATTTCACCTTACACCCATCAGAATGGCCAAGATAAAAAACTCAAGTGACAACACATGCTGGAGAGGCTGTGGAGAAAGGGGAACCCTCCTCCACTGCTGGTGGGAATGCAAACTCATACAACCACTCTGGAAATCAATCTGTCGCTTACTCAGACAACTAGGAATAGCGCTTCCTCAAGATCTAGCCATACCACTTTTAGGCATATATCCAAAAGAGGCTCAAGTACACAATAAGGACATTTGCTCAACCATGTTTGTAGCAGCTTTATTTGTAATAGCCAGAAGCTGGAAATAGCCCAGATGCCCCTCAACTGAAGAATAGATTCAGAAATCTACACAATGGAGTATTACTCTGCAAAGAAAAATAAGGAAATCCTGAAATTTGCAGGTAAATGGTGGGACCTGGAAAGGATCATCCTGAGTGAGCTGTCCCAGAAGCAAATAGACACACATGGTATATACTCACTCATATAGACATGTAACATATGATAAACCTACTAAAACCTGTACATCTAAAGAAACTAATCAAGAGAGAGGACCCTGATTACAATGCTCAATCCCCATCCTGAAAGGCAAAGAGGATGGCCATCACAGTTCCTTTCTTAATTTTGTAGCTCACAGAGTTCACACCTACATAGCACTGGTGATTCCTTCTTCTTCCTGTTGCGCATAGCACCTTTTGTACTAGTAGGGAAGCTGCTCAGTACGGATGAAAGTTATGTAAGAACCAGCTTGATATCACCATGTTCTATGACTTGTGTAGTGTCTTCAGCAACAGGGTCTAATTGTTGAGTTTTGGAGGGTAAGTAAGAGCACTTAAAATCATCTGTAATATTTTGGAGGCTTTGGGACCTCACTTGTCAAAAACTCTAAGAGAAGTAACCTGTTTTGCGACTATGCTGTTGTCTTTCCTTTTCTGAGCACTATTCATGTCATTTAGTCTACTGCCAACTGGATTTTAGGGCTTTTCTTTTCTTTTTTAAAAATGTTTTGTTGATTCTTTGTAAGTTTTACAACATGCATCCCAGTCCTGCTCATCTCCCTGTCCCTTCATATCTGCCCTTAGCCTTTGCAACCTACCCCAGCCAAAACCAAAACAATTCAACACCCCTACAACAAGCAACAGCAACAACGTAAAAAGCAAAACAAACAACAGAGCAAAGCATAGAAAACATCTCATCATGGAAGCTGTAGTATGTAACAGTGTGTCTCATAGTATATCCCTCTGTCCATATATCTTCACTTGCAAATGTTTATTGCAATGAATCATTGGTCTGATTCAAGATCTCTGGCTTCTGTGATACTATCAATATTAGATCCTTGTCAGGACCCCTCCCAGTTATCCTGTTGTTGCCTTATGCCATGGAGATCCTCTAGTTCGGAAGAACAGACTATCCCTTTTTTGCATCCCAACCAGTCTGGGCCTATGTAACAGCTGAGCTGGTAAGCACACTGACTCTCCCTTATCTGCACCACCAGCGTGAGCTCTCCAGCACTGCTCCAGCTAGGCCACTCAGTGCAGTCACCAGCAGGAAGCAGACTCAACTTTCATACCCTTGGGGCCAGCTCATCTGCACCCAGACTTTCAGAGCCAGCTCCACTGTGCTGCCCAGTTGAGGCTCACAGTCTACTCTCTCAAATGCTGCACCCCCCAAGGGGCTGGGCCAGCTCTTCCACTCTCCCATACTCAAGGCTGGCTCACCATGTCTTTGCCATCAGGGCCTACAGTCAGTGAGGAGGCAGGGCTAGCCCTCCCACTCTCATGCTTTTCTGTCCAGCTCTCCTGACTACTACAGGTGGCTAGCAGGGAGGGGAATCACTCCTGTACCCACACCTCCTCATGGTAGACTAGTGGCTGGGGCCAGCTCTCCCTCGCTCTCACCCATGGGGCTGGCTGACCCACACCCTCTCTGCAATCACCCACACCTTCTCTGCAAAGACTAGCCATAATGTGCTGCCTATACAGGACCTGCTCTAATGAGTCCTCCAGCCAGTGAGAGGCAGGGCCAACTCACCCACTCTCATGACCCCAGAGTTGGTACTCCTGACTGCCTCAGAGAGTCAGGGGCAAGAGTGAGAGGTGAGCGGCAAGAGGAAATCTCCCTTTGCCCAGGCCAGCTCACAGCAAAGGAATGGGAGGCCCAGCTCTCCCTCACACTCCCTAGGGTCCAGCTCACCCATGCCTCTGCCATCAGGGCCGGCTCTGGAGAGAAGCAGGGTCCATTCTCCTGAGTGCTGCAGCCTGTGAGAGACAGGGACAGTTCTTCTGACTGCCACAGGTGGAAAGGGCACCCATGCTACCTCATCGCAGAAGAGTGGTGGGACCAGCATCTGTGCCCTCACCACCAGGGTCAGTTCTGGTATGCTATCCAAGCAAGGCTCTTTCTAGTGCTGTAGCTGGTGAGGGGCAGGGATAGCTCTCCTGTGCTCCTGACTCTGTGGGCAGTTTATCTGACCTCTAGAGTCAGCTCTCCCAAACTCATGCCGTAGGTGCCCCACCCCCTCCACTCGGGCCAGTTCCACTTCTCTGCCTGGCTTAGGCACAGGACCCACTCTCCTGAGTGCTCCTGATAATGAGAGGTGGGGCTAGCTCTCCAGAACGGCCTAGCCAGTGATGGGTAGTATCAGTTCTGCACAGCTTCTGGACTTGCATGCAGTCATGGTCCTCAGCCATTGCCCTGACCAAGGATATCTCCATGTTCTCTAGTGGTAATATGAGATTTGGACACAACACTAGCCCCTACTGTTGCACAGCTACAGACCCACACACGCCCCTCTGTGGCAGCTTGAGCTGGCCCTCACCATGGCCCCGGGTGGTAAGGATGGTCACTCACAAGTTCCTCCTCTCCACCCTCAATTCTCTAATTCCGTGTCTCTTCAAAACGCTCAAGCTTTTTCGCCATCTGATCACCACATCCTTGCACATTGTGGTGCTCCTATAGCAGGCTGACCTCATGGCTGGTGGGTTCCTGGATGACATCCTCCATCCATGCTGTATGGCCTTGTAGCAAGTGATGGAGCCAGCAGATGTCAATGGCCCACCTGTGCCAGGCATCTGAGGACAGGTCTGTGTGTGGCATGGTAGCCTACAGGTCTGTAGGTAGGCAGGCTCTGTGTCTATGGTTTGCCTATGCTGTGGTATGAAGGGCAGGTCTAGGGGGGTTAACATGACAAAACACAGGTCTCTGTCTGACTTCCTCCTCTCTTGCTGCACTGCTTGCATTTGATTTGATTTAATTTTTTAAAATTTAATTTTATTTATATATTTTATTACAATTTATTCACTTTGTATCCCCACTGCAGCCCCCTCCCTTGTCTCCTCCCAGTCCCATCCACCCTCCCTCTTCTCCCCCTATGCCCTTTCCTTAGTCCCCTGATTTATTTGATTTTTATGTGTCTTAGGCAGAAAACAGCTTTGGTCGCCAAGCCAAGCATCAAGCTAGGATAAACGAAGGACTGCCATCTGCTGTGCCCCTGACTGATGTAAGAACTACACCAATAACAAGGTGTCGCTTTGCTTGTTGTTGGGGTAGTGGGTGAAGAGATGGTTCTTTTTTATTAATGAAACTTTAAGATATAAATTGAATTGGCCAATTTTTATATCACAACTTACTGATTGACTTTTGTCTTTCTTTATAATGTCTTGCCAATCAATTCTTATGAGTTTGTATTTAATACTTTTAGAACTATTTCTTTTTTTTTTCTTTTTATTTTTTATTATTAGTTACATTTTATTAACTCTGTATCCCAGCTGTATCCTGCTCCCTTTCTCCCAATCTCTCCCTCCTTCTTTTCCTCCCTCATCTCCTCCCTTCTCCTTTCCAAGTCCACTGATTGGGGAGGACCTCCTCCCCTTTCATCTGACCCTGTTTTATCAGGTATCTTCAGGACTGGCTGCAAAGTTCCCCTCTTGTTTCTTCCTGTACTTTGGATAATGGTGGTCATAGGAATCACAATATAAATATTTACTAAAAATTGTTGAATTAAAGAGTGAATATGTCATTTTTCAATCAAAAATAATTTTCATCTATTAAGTATCTATCATATTATACATTTTTAGAATTCAGATTGGTGAGATGGCTCAGTGAACTGTGGTGCATGCTACCAGTACTGACAACCTGTGCTTGATGCTCTGACCTACTTGGCCAAAATGGAGAATCAACTTTTGCAGGTTGTCTACTGTCTAAGAGATGCACAGTGAAAAATGTCTGTGAGTACACACTTACATGAACACAGACACACACATATGCCTATAGGCAGAAATACTCAATTGTGAAAAAATATTTTTAAAAAGAATAGTTAACATCCTCAAAGTCATATTTCCTTACTTTCTTTCCAACTAAATTAATATCAGAATGAAACTGTCAGACAGTTGGTATAGGAGTGGCAATCTTAGGACTGAAAATTAAGTCATTTTAACAGTAAAGATCATCCATATTTTGTAAGCGCAACTTGTTTGAATTATTTAATGCTCAGATAAAAATTAGACTAAATTACATTAGCATCTGACTAAAGAACTCATTTATAATTTATGATGACAACTCATGAGTGGAACACATGAAATTAGATTAACTGATGACAGTTGAACTAAAGCATGGTTTTTGCTATTAAATAATTTTTTCAAACCATCTACATGTACAGAATATCACTTAATGACATTTTATATTCATAAGACATTTAAAACTTGAAATGGCATTTATACTATATTTAATCATTTTGCTTTATTTTACTATCACACAAGTAGTTACACCCAAGAGGAATAGACTGCTCAAAATAATCGAACTCAGAGTTAAAAATCAATAAATTAGAAACAAAGAAAACAATTCAAAGAATCAATGAAACCAAGAGCTGGTTCTTTGAAAAAAATCTACAAGATTGACAAACCCTTAGCCAAACTAACTAAAAGGTAGAGAGACACTATCCAAATCAACAAAATCAAAAATGAAAAGGGGGCATAATGACAGACACTGAGGAAATCCAAACAATCATTAGATCTTACTTCAAAAGTCTATACTTCACAAAATTTGAAAATCTAAAAGAAATGGATAATTTTCTTGATAGATTACACTTACCAAAGCTGAATCAAGATCAGGTAAATAAATTAAATAGTCCTATAACTCCTAAGGAAATAGAAGCAGTCAGTAAAAGTCTCCTATCCAAAAAAGCATAGGGCCAGATGGTTTCAAAGCACAACTCTACCAGACTTTCAAGACGGAGCCAATACTAATACTCTTCACACTGTTCCACAAAATAGAAACAGAAGGAACATTACTAAATTCCTTATGTGAAGCCATAGTCACCTTGATACCCAAACTTCACAAAGACTAAAAAAATAAAGAGAATTTCAGACCAATTTCTGTTGGAGACAAGCCCTAAGAAATTTCTGACCTTTTCTCATTTCCCCCACCCTACTGCCCCTGGTTGACCAACATCCTGCTTGACAGTTGCAGAAAGGTGCTAACTGTACCATGACTTCCCGAGATAAGAAGATTCTGTAACTTCCACCCTGCCCTCCCTGAGTGTTCTACACTGTGCTCCTCCCTCGCCCCGCCCCTATCTAAGGTTGGCCTTAAAAGCCTGCTCTGGTTCAATAAAATTTGACTCTTGACAAGTGCACATTTGCTTGAGTCCGTTCTTCTCTCTCGCCTGTTTTTCTTTCAGGCATGGTCCTCTTTGGAGACCCACGAATTACTAGTCCCACAGGCAGGTACAAATTTCCCTTATGAACATTGGCAGAAAAATACTTAATAAAATATTCGCAAACTATATCTTAGAGCACATCATAGACCAAGTAGGCCTCATCCCAGGTATTCAAGGATGGTTCAATATATGGAAATCTATCAAATAATCCACCATATACACAAACTGAAAGAAAAAAAAAATCACATGGTTATCTCCTTAGATGTTGAAAAATCATTTGATAAAATCCAACACCAGATCAGGTTTAAGAAAAATCATGGATAAAAGGTACATACCTAAACATAGTAAAGGCAATATACAGCAAGCCTATAGCCAACATCAAACTAAAAAGAGAGAAACTTAAATCAATTCCATTGAAATCTGGGACAAGGCAAGGCTGCCCACTCTCTCCATATTTCTTCAACATAGTACTGCAAGTCCTATCTAGAGCAATAGGACAACTAAATAAGATCAAGGGGATTCAAATTGGAAAAGAAGTCAAAGTATAACTATTCACAGATGATATGATAGTGTATATGAGCGACCCCAAAATTCTATCAGGGAACTCCTATAGCTGATAAACACCTTCAGCAAAGTGGCTTGATACAAAATTAACTAAAAAAAAAAAAAAAAAATCAGTAGCTCTCCTGTATACAAAATATAAAAGAGCTAAGGAAGAAATTAGGGAAACAACATCCTTCACAAGCCACAAAACATAATGTATCTTGATGTAACTCTAACCAAGCAAGTTAAAGACTTGTATGAAAAAAACTACAAGTGTTTCAAAAAGATTTAGAAGATATCAGAAAATGGAAAGATCTCCCATGCTCATAGGTCAGTAGGATTAACATAGTTAAAATGGCCATCCAACCAAAAGCAATCTACAGACAAAGGCAATTCTTATCAAAATACCAACACAATTCTTTACAGAACTTAAAAGAACAATTCCCAACTTCATATGGAAAAACAAACGAACAAACAAAAGCCAGAAGAGCTAAAATAATCCTGTACAATAAAAGATCTTCTGGAGGTATCCCCATCTCTGATCTCAAGCTCTGCTATAGAGCAACAGTAATTAAAACTGCATGGTATTGGCATAGAAACAGACCGGTGGATAAATGGAATCAAATCAAGGACCCAGATATAAATCCACATGTCTATGGACACCTGAGTTTTGACAAGGAAGCCAAAAACCATACAGTGGAAAAAAATAGTATCTTCAACAAATGGTGCTGATCTAACACGATGTCTACATGTAAAAAAATGCAAATAAACCCATATCTATCACCCTGAACAAAATTAAACTCTAAGTGGATCAAAGACCTCATCATAAAACCAGACAAAGTAAACCCGTAAGAAGTAAAAGTGGGGAAAAACCTTGAATTCAGCACAGGAGAACTTCCTGAACAGAGCACCAATAGCACAGGCTCTAAGATCAACAATCAGTAAGTGGGATCTCATGAAACTTAAAGCTTCTGTAAGTCCAAGAACACTGATATAAAAGTCCAGAACTAAATGTGGGACAAATTCATTGAGAAAGACTCTGCTTCATCGTTACCATAAGAAAAAACTAGAGAGGTCTGAAGCCAATACTGGCCTGCAATCATTGCACTAATAATTCTCTTTTCAATGCCTGACTAGCTAAATTAACTCAATCTGTTATCTTAAGCATCTGCTATAAAAAGGACATATTCAGGGATCCAAGATGGTGGCGACCAGTGTGCACCCTATCTGAGAGGCAGAGGATCTGAAACTCATAAAGTGGTGAGTGAAGGGGCGGCTGAAGCCAGAACATCGACACTGAGACTTCCTGGGCAATGAGTTCAAGGCTCTTCCCCACGTTTTCTTCCATGCGATTTAGTGTGTCTGATTTTATGTTGAGGTCTTTGATCCACTTGGACTTTAGTTTTGTGTAGGATGATGAGAATGTACCCCAGAAAACAAACTGGGGTATCTACCTTAATATCTAATAAAATAGACTTTCAAAAAAGATGAGGAGGGACACTACATTCCTGAACAGAACACCAACAGCACAGGCTCTAAGAGCAACAATCAATAAATGGGAGCTCATGAAACTGAAAAGCTTCTGTAAAGCAAAGGACACTGTCATCAGAACAAAATGACAGCCTACAGACTGGGAAAGGATCTTCACCAACCCTATATCTGACAGAGGTCTGATATCCAGAATATATAAAGAACTCAAGAAGTTAAACAGCAACAAATCAAGTACTCCAATTAAAAAATAGGGTATGGGCTCAGCTCCCACTGCTTCGGCGGTGGGGCTGTGTCGGCCCAAGCTGCAGCTTGTAATTTACAATAAAAAGACCCTCATGTGTTTTGCCAAAAAAAAATAAATAAATAAAATAAAAATAGGGTATGGAGCTAAACAGAGAATTCTCTGTGGAGGAATATAGAATGGCAGAGAAACAATTAATGAAATGCTAAAATCCTTAGTTATCAGGGAGATGCAAATCAAAACGACCCTGAGATTTCACCTTACAACCATCAGAATGGCTAATACAAAAATTCAAGTGACAACACATGCTGGAGAGGATGTGGAAAAAGGCGACCCCTTCTCCATTGCTGGTGGGAATGTAAACTTGTACAACCACTTTGGAAACCAATCTGGCTCTTTCTCAGACAATTAGGAACAGTGATTTCACAAGATCCAGCTGTACCACTCCTAGGCATATACCCAAAAGAGGCTCAAGTACACAACAAGGACATTTGTTCAGCTGTGTTTGTAGCAGCTTTATTTGTAATAGCCAGAAGCTGAAAACAACCCAGATGTCGCTCAATGATGGAATGAATACAGAAACTGTGGTACATTTACACAATGGAATATTCCTCAGC